CTGCTTTGCTGCACAGCGTTTTACTCGGCGGGCTGGCTCTAAAGCATAATTCAGTTTACAGGAACACAAACATCAATCTCAAACTATTTATTATATAAACAACATTAAAAAAAAAAAAAAAAAAAAAAACCTAAAGTGACCCTTAAGGACATGTAGCATCTTGTTGGGAATACATATTCCCAGACAAGAAAAGAAGAAGCTCGCCTTACAGCAGAAGCCCTGTCAGCCGAAATGCTAAAAATTCTTATGGGCTCCTGAAATTTCACAGCAGCCCAATATACACTACACACTGTAAAAAGGGGAGACGGAGCTCTCAAACTATGTGGTACGAGCTTTAAGTTAAAAATAAATAAACCCCCACACTGCAACATTTGGTTGGATTCCTTCAACTGCCTAGGGAGGTGATCGCTCCTTGGACTCCTCATTGCCAAAAGGACAAGTCCTAGATGTCTCTCAATGTGCGTTACTCTAGTTCCACACACCTGTGATTTTGTAACATTACAGAGTAGACATTTCCCCCTCTTCTAAATATATTTCGTTAAATCATTAGCCACTCCACGATGTAAAAAGCAAAAAGGGAAAAAAATCTGCATATAAGTTTGCCTGCACTCCAGAACCAAAAAAGGCTATTCCAAAAAGCAAAGCCATGCAGAGTTATGTCAAGTTAACAAGTTTGAAAAGCCAATTTGTTAAGTTTTCCTGTCATAGAATTGCTGGCAATTTTATGAGACACTTGGTGCTTAGCACTGTGCAGACCAGGATACCAAAAGGACCAGGTCTCTAGTCCAATCTAGTAATTCATGTCCCTTTGAATTTTACATCTGTTACTCATGGAACTGAAGAACAAAAATATGCACAACATTTTTACTAGGTCATTTTCATGCAAATGGAACAGGAGGTCCTATTTCTGTCATAATTCAGGAAAGAAAAATATCAGCTTTGGAAGTTATATGTCAAAATTTATTTCTCCAGATCCTGCCAAAATAGTGACACTAATTCAAAATATTTCAAATAATGAGCTCGTAATACAGATTGTGATGCGCACACACACGGAACATTTTCATTGCTAAAAAAAAAAAAAAAAAAGAGGAAGCCCAAGCTATCAAAGATATCACTAGCAAGTTAATCATATAATAAAGTAATGAGAGCATGAACCGCTTCTTTATTATGAAAGTTTTAATTACAAATTAGCATCAATTCTGGACTCATTACAGCTCTAGATGTTTTTAATGCTTTGTTTACTCATGACTGAAGTACCTTCTCTATTTTCCTTCCTCTGACTTTTTTAGCCTCCACCCCTTCGTTTTCCTTGGAAATGCAGCGTACTCTCTCATGACACTCCATCTGTGCCACCTCTCTGCTCATTTGTGTTTCAGATGGAAATACAACCCGGAGTCATCATAAAAACGGCTTCACAGCACCCATCCACCCTGAGTGGTTTCTTGCAGTTAAAGAAAAATCCAGACCTGTTAAACATCCAGTGTCTGAAAAGCTGTCAAACTATTATAGTCAAAATAATAAATATCTTTCCTCACCAGAACATGGCTAGCTGCTTTTCCTTGCTTTAGACTGTTCTCCTCCTGTTGCTTAGATCACTAAAGTTAGTTTCTTCTCGACTCCTGGCTCCCGACAATGTATTTTTTTTGGTCATGCACTTACGTGTTACCCTTCTGAGCTTCAAGCTGCCTTTTTTCACCAGGCTGCTAGAAGTTTATGGTGCAATCATGTCATGCTTTCACTAACGTACACTTCTCCGCAAAGCCTTTTTTGTCCCCCAATTTTAGTAATTCTGCAAGTCAACTGGTAAAAACACAACAAATATATCTGCCTAACATAGTAAGTGATCTTGTAAAATTCCAGGCAAAGCTGTAAATTCACACCTCTAGTTTCTGAGACAAGTAATATGCACAGTGAGATATTACTATTTAAAATCATCAGCCTATTCTATTGCTTGGATGGAGGATCTACATGCAAAGCTCCTCTGGAAACAACCAAGCCTATGTAAATACTGAACACGGCCTGCCTCAGCATTAGGAAACCCACGCACGCTCAGGGTAACAGATGCTTCCTGGTGCAGGGAGCCTCCCACAGCACCTCACCAGAGCCTCAGCCAACAACATTCTGCCTTTCAGCTACCCCCTTCCCAGCCTACAACTTCAAACCAGTTTAAACAATTGCAGCCTTCTGTACGTTAGCAGTGAAACAGTAACAGCAGCACGTCTGGTTGATGAGGAAATGCACCTCGGCCTGCCCCAGTGATAAGTTTCCCCCCCACACACACATCCTTCCGTTTTCTCCTCTGCTCTAGTGCTCTGTGCTTTTCATAATGCAATATCCTACCTCAAAAAATAATTGCTGCACAGTAAATCATAAACTACCCCAGAGCACAAGTAAATTACCCAAATAAATCTTTAAATTCTACTTCCTGCTTTGAAGTGCATTGTTTTAGGTACATTTTAGAAAGTTATATGAATACCAAATACAAACATTTCAAAACACATGACTACTAAGACAAAAGTTCTTTTTTTTTCCCCCCCAAAGTATTTTCTAGGAAGTAGTACTAAAAAAAGTACATTTTAGCAAATTCAGAAAAAAAAAATCCAGTTTAGCTTTAAGCAATATAGTCATTACTTGAAAATGGATATATTTTCTACCAAATGATTCCATATGACAGTTTTACAGATGAAAACAAACTACAGTGGGAAAGGGAATATTAGAAGCATTATATAAAGAACAGAGAGTAGGCAAATGAAATACCTCGAATTGCTGGCTGTACTTCTCAACTAGATTAGCAAATTCAAATAGTTGAACAGCCTAAAACCTAGTTACCTTACCTCACTCAAAAATTAGAAAGCTTTCCATCCTCACTGTCAACATACACCATTTTTGAGCTGATTAATACTTAATTAATACACTCTTGCTGTCCTTCCAGGAGTCTTACTGCAAGCAAAAAACATGCAGCATGAAAGAGCAGGAAATCCATTGCTCTGCTGTTAAGTAAAATAATGTTTTTTAAACTAATCCATATTAGTATATATTTAACATATATCCTGGGCTAAAGAAATTAATCAGATATGCATATCAGATAAATTGATAATCACATTTTTCAAGTATCAGATTTTTAAGAACAAAAAAAAACCACTAGAAAGATCTAACCGGAAAGTTATGAACAGGAACAGAGATTACTAGTTCAAGATGCAACTAAGTTGCAATTCTAATTTTAATTTTGGTAATTTGGATTTTCAAGAAGAAAATTTTTCTAGAAGAAAATTTGTCTACACAAACACTCAAGCATCACTGATCTGCATGGAAACTACAGGGGAGGAAAAATAACATTTTTATTAACTATTTCTTCAATAATTAAAAATGAACTGGAATAAAAAGGGTTGTATTTCAGTCTCCCTGTTCTACACTCAGCAGAGTACTCTGACTATACAGTTTCACTTGCTTCCCCTGCTCAGTATTCTGCCATAATGACATCAGGCCCTCATGACTGCTCTAATCTCCATCATTCTAACAGGTTTAAGATTAGCTTATGTTGCCTGCACTTATCTGGACATTCCTCTGGAAAAGGATGAAACTAAAGCTCAGAGATAAAGATGAAAAAATTTACTGCAAACAAGGACAGTACTTTTCAATGCTTACAAAAAGCTTCCCTGTACAATATTTCAGTATTTTCTTTATTTTGCAGTATTTTCTTTATTTTTCTCAACTTTCATGCATAACTAATTACACAATTATGGGAACTGTCCGGAAGGCTTATTGCTGTCACTAATATTTTAGTTTGTAGATTGGAAAGATCTGAAAAGTGTCAGTCCCAAATGCTAGCAGTAGATAAACAAGCACTGAGATTACTAGCTAACTTTCACATATATCCTGTGAAATTAGAGTTAGGCTTTTTCCACTGCCTGAACTAGTTCACCACAGTGCCCTCCTCTAAGATACTAAGCAAATGATTCCTCAAAAATAAGGATATTCCAGATCATTCTCTCCACTGCACTCAGTTCCTTCAGGGAAGGAGAAAAAAAAAAAATCAATTCTGCCACGCACCAGAAGAGCAGTGGTGCCCAATTTGGTCATCACAGAAGAAAGTTTACGAAGTATCACAGTGAACCCGACAGTGATAATTCACAGCTTAGCTCATTCTGAGAGAACCATTTTACCTCCCTGAGATGTTACAATTTGAAGAGACACCAGGGCTTGATTCTTCTCCAATACACCTTCAGTGGGACCAGGCTTATGAACACCCTCACCTTTAGGAGAGGGACAACCTCGCTCCCCCCTTCCTTTCTCCAGCCAGCACCTGACAGCTGCCAGAAAGCCAAAGCAGCAAGAACACTGGAATTGTGCGAATATTTCTTCATAGCTCATCTTTTGAGAATCAGAGGGCAAAGCTAAACAAGAATAGCGGCAACTCCTTTGCCTGGGCTGCCAGGAGCCTACATGCTAATCCCAAGCAAGCACAAACACTAAAAGCACAATTGCTAAAAGCTTCACACAGGCCTGAGCGGCTTTTAAGCCAATAGGACTCCCTTAGCCTAAAGCAGGAGGTGCTTATCACATTTGCCCATAAAACTTGAAGAAAAACAAAAAAACTGAAACCTTTCTGGACTGCTTCCTGTAAGAGGCAGAGTTGTGGGCCACAAAGTGGCTGGAACAGACCAGACAAAAAGGAAAACCCAGTGATGCCTTAAGCAAGAAAAGCTTTTAAGTAAAGAAAACACCAGTCAGAAGACCATATCAGTTCTTAATTACCTCACTGAAAGTCAAACCATTTCCCTTTTATATGTAATCACAAAAAAACAGCAGCTTATATATAAAGAATTTTCTTTATGCTAGAATAATATCCATTTTTTGACAATTCTAGAAACTGGACCTTCAACATTTGGCTGTGGAAATAGCATACACGGAGCAACCACAGCGGAAGCTCAGGAATAAAAGGATTCCGTAAGAGAGGACAGAGCGCGCAGGCCCGCGCCGCTGGAGCTTGGCGCTCCTACCTCATCACTTTCATCTACTTCAATGCCGCCGTCCTTGTCGTCATCCATCTGCTTGTGGATGGTGCGGAGCGCTTCCAGGCTGAAGCGGTCCTCCTCCGTAAAGCACGGGGGGCTCAGAGAGCTGCACGGATCTGGAGAGGGGAAAAGTCAAAGCACAAGTCTCAGTTACTGTTGCCCAACTCTGCGCGCAGCTGAAGGCTTTGGTTCCCCTTACGTGAGGCCATCACATTTTTCTTCTTTCTCTTCCACAACGTATGTAGCAATTGCTCCAAAATTCTAAGACACATGATTTTTAACCCATGATTAAAGATAGTTACTTAATAGCAAGGTCTGTGAAACACCCATTTTATTAATTCTAATGCATCCAACAACACTAAACAAGAGGTGTGGAAGGAGAAGGATGCAGAAAATATTTTTTGAAAGTTCAGCTTGAAGTAGTGAATTTCCACTGTAATTACCAGCATACTAACACATTGGCTATTCCCACACAAAATACAATTAGGTACACTCTGCTTTGATCATAGCAACAGAAATGCAAATTGAAGCAACATGCAAGTATTTTTTGCTTTTGTTAGTCTATCAAAGGATTAGGCTTCCAGGTTACTATAGAAATTAAGCTCATATGTAATAAAAAGGATGTGAAACTACATACGAATTGTGCAAGGGCTGGCACAAAAATAGATGTTACTGTTTCCAAACCAACTGAGTTGGTATGATTCTGCGTTTCTGTATTTCTTTAAAAATTGTGGAATTAGAAAAAGAGATTCTGGAGAAAAACAAACAAACAAACAAAAAACAACAACAAAAAAAGCTTGGTAATAAAGCTACAGAGCTACAGATTAAGTAGGACATGCAGAAGTAATGAATCAGCTCAAAGTTCAGCTACCTTCCTCCTACTTCTCCAAAAGCGTTCCTGCCATTTAAGACAAAGCAAAGCAACTCCAAAAGAAAAATTATAATTTTCAGTACAATAGCCACGAGCAAACCAGACTAAGATGCTACTTAAGTATTATCATGTATTAGAACAACTTTGTACTGCAAGATTAGAGCTATATTATGTTTAAGTTATAACAAAGCTCAATAATCAGAACAAAAACTGGTACCTCAAACACACCTACTGTTTAACCTGTACTTAGTTCTGAGATTTTCTTCTATGAAGAATAACATTCACTGTTTTTCAAGTGATCACTCAAAACATTTCTCCTGTTATGCAAGAAAGCCCAGTTTTTCATTTTTAAAATATTTTCTCAGATTATTTCTCAGCATTGAGGCTCACAAATTTCTTAATCAGTACACTCATCCTAACCATGTCGTCTTTGATTACTTAAACATGAAGGCACTTTAAAGAGCTAATGACTCTTCTTGACAGAAAGAAGTAAACAGGCTGCCTGTGCTTCAAATGCCCTGTGCCCTGGTGACAGCACCGCCTGACACCTCTCAAAGAGGAGAAGGTTCCAACTGCTCTTCTTGAGACTGAGAAATTTGGAGTAGGATCACAGACCGCAATAAAATGAACCGACTCTAAAGAGAACCCAGATTGATCTCCAAGCTTATTTTCATACAATAAAATGACATAGCACTCCCATATTGACAAGGCTCATCATCCCCCTCTTCAACGAACAGTCTCAAAAAAACACTCATTCTTGAGGCAGTGGGAGGAAGAAGAGAGTACTTCTGAAGTTCCAGCAATCCAAAAAAACAGCTGATGAAATTTTAATGGTCTGCTGCTCTGCAGATTTTTGCCTCAGCTGCAAAGCAAAAATATAATAATAATAGATGAAGAATTATCAGGAACTTCTCAAGCACCCGGTTAGTCAAGATGAAAGGTAAGAGAAGACTCTAAGATACGGCAAGCACCTAAGGTAGAATAACATATTAGAAAACTACTTGATATTTCACTTTGAACACATCCTGCAGAGGGTCTGGGACTCAAACACTTCTATTGTGCACTAAGAGCAAATATTAGCTGTCCTAGCCTGATGTGTTGTCAGGTATACCTTTAGTCCAAAACTATGGTCACATGAAAAATTAGAGATAAAATCAGGAAGTTTATGGCGTGAGCCTGACAACTTAATCTGATCCTTCGGCACACAGTTCTGAGGAATTACCTGCATAAACAAGAGCACAAAACTCTGTTAACTGGAAGCACATGGAGGCGCACGGGCAGCGCACAACCGTGCCACGTGTCACGCTACACGCGGTCGGCTTCAGCGCCGCACCGAAGGGAGGAAATTTTAGAACTTATGGTCATGATAAGAAGGGAATTTGTCACTGCAGGATTAAGCAGCATATTTATGGCACGGCATACTTGGCAGGGGCTCTTGAAAAGATCCTTCCTCCTGCCCCAAGTTGCTCATCAACTGCCCCCCAACTCTGAGGCAGTGGGGAAGCGCAGTGGTCACTACCAGCCCCGAGGCACAAGGCAGCCCTTAGGAACCCTCCTCGTAGGACACAGCTGCGTAACAAATCAATTGTAGTTATCTAAGCAGTAATATAGAAAACATTATTTCTACAGGTAAGAGGAAACAAACGTTTGAACACTGGAATCAGCTCCCTCTGGCTTCATTAACAACAACAAAAAGCTAAAACTATGGCAAGGCTACAAGAAAAGTTTGCTGAAAATTCTCCTGAACTATGTGGCTACAGCTCCTCACCACCCCCCATCCTAAGTATGCAAGAAGAGTTAAATTTCTCAAGTGACAGTGTTGGCACAAACTAGTAAAGAAAATTAATTATACCAACATCTTCAAGAGTTCACACTGACAAGGCTCTGGAAATTATTTTAAGGAATACGTACAGCTCCAAAGCAAAAGGGCATGTGATCTCTAGCCAGTCTTTCATCTGGCCTACATTCACTTTTCCCTGAGCTCTGCTGTAAGCAGAAAGGATTCATGGAGCCTCCAGCGGGGACTCCAGCCAGGCGCTTCCAGCCGGCATCCCGGCTCAAAGCACCTACTGTATTCCCAGAGACTCAACGAGTCCTTTTAGGAATACAGGGACACACAAAATGATCCATGATTTGAGACCACAGGGGATACCTGGGATCAGTGGCATCATGCCTTTAATTCCCCAATCCGTTCATGGAAAAAGCCACTGCGCTGTTAGGAGCTGTTTGGGAGAATGGCTACTACACGTGATCTTTGCTCCGTGCGGATGTTCAATGCTCAGCGAGAAGGAAGAGCACTTTTTATTGCAGCAGATGGTGGCCCCATGGAAGCCAACAGTGTTTCCGTGACTTCCTCTCCTTGACGAGTTCGGCAGTAGCGCGTACCACGTTGTGTTAGTTTTACCATTCCTAGCTTCCTCAGGAGCCATCTGGGATAGAGGCAGGTCTCAGAAGAAAGAGCTGTTCACAAGTGGGTAGTCCTTAACACAGCTTTCCTCACTTTAAAACAGCTACGTTTCAGCAAGCCACAATGATACATACGCAGGATTTCTCTGCATGTGCCAGAGGCAGAGCAGGTGGTCACAGCACCAGCCACCAGCTCCCTGCATCTTCAGGAAACCACGGTTTCTATTTCTTTACACCTCACATTTCTTTCTTTGCTTTAGTTTGACTTGGTACCTTAATACATTATAGTTTCTTCAATTCAAAATGATACTTCAAGGCAAAATGCCTCAAAAGAAGGAGCTGCAAGAGAAGCATGATTTTTAAAGACAGATGAGTACAAATCTGACAGTCAGGTACAACAGGGATTATCAAAATTGCTCAAGAAAAGCAGGTGTTTTCAGAAATTTCACCAGATGTTCAAAACAACCATTCACAATAGAAGAAATAAAAATATAGCCTTTGCCTTTACCCGAAATCCTTACATATGAAGGTGTCATTAAAATCTTAAAATGCTTGGAGAGACCTCCTCATTCCAAGCCTCGTCTAATCTTTCAATTAAAAGCTCTCAAAGCAAATCACTCCCACTCATAATAATTAAACTCCTCCATATGGCAAGTAGGCTGAGCAGGATGTAACAGTCAACTTGACAATGTCATTTGTGACATTTATTTTTCACTCTCACCATTTAAATAAAGATCAGTATTGCAGCACATCTTTCCACTGGAAACATTAAAGCAACAAATTTTTGACAAAAAAGAGAAGGCAGAATACATTTATTTTCTAATCAAAATACCTGAAGTCACTTGCTTCCCGAAAAGGAAAATGCAATAGAAATGAAGAGGTAACAACGTTACTTTTTTTCTACTTCTTAATTTTCACATATCTATATATGTGAAATCTTTTCTGCTAGTTCACATTAAAAATTCAGATCATTTCTGGAATTGTGTTTACAAGCTGGTGTAGTAGCATCAGAAGGGACTGAAAGATGAAACTCTTGACTGTTCAACCTGGTATCTGAAATGCTTGTTCCTGCATACACACACATAGAGCTTAGTGACTGATAGCACAGCACTGTAAACCCAGCTCTGCTGCATGAAAGCTCCCTAATTTTCCTAAACCTACTAAACATCCTTCAGTAAAAACAAAGGGTACAAACCATCCTGAGATGAAGCAAATACATTTCTCGAAGCCGTATGTATACAAGTGATCTTTATATGCAAGTTAACATTTGTTTATATCCATACTGAGATGTGTTTGCTTACCCTGCCTGTTCTATTATCTTTTAATATATGCAAATTGACTTTTTTTAAACATGAAAGTTTGAAACTTAAAGCAAAGCAAAAAAAAAAATTCCTTAAGTCATCACTAACTCACTGACTCTGTTTTCCCCATACCCATAACTTGGTATAAATGAAATTTAAGTTCATAGTTATTAAAAACAACAACATTAGTTAAATCATAGCTGGTTATTTAAATAAACTGAAGCTCATAATTCAAAAAAATCAAGTATAATGACAGGTTTTCATTAGAGTTTTTCTAATCTTTACTAGATTAAAAAGCATTGAAACAACTTTAACAGAAGAGCTGACATGGTTAACTTTCTAATCACACCTGCTAGGGCATTCAAGACATCACACACCATCCTAGAAAACAATCGAAGTGCTTTAAGCAATAGCAGCTTTTCCTCAGAGGAAAGAAATTCCCTAGATTTTGCATCAAATAATCATCTAGCTTTCCTTTAATAGAATTAGAGCAAAGCATCTTCC